CTATTATTTCGCGCCGCTTTTAACAGTATTTCGGTTATACCACGGTGTGTCAGCTTGATGTGGGAAGAACATCCGAAGTATGGCATGGTGCTGGGATTCGGCGATCTCTGCACGGCGAACTGCGCCGCCTAAAACGACTGGGTCATCCGTGCCTACTCATTAATTTTAAAAGTCGTCGGAGACGGGAGTGAAATGAAAAATATTTTTTTTCTTGTCTGTCTGTCCCTTTGTATAGATAAGATAACTGTATTTACGGAACTAAATGTTATTCAACTGGACTCTCCTAAAAGAGTCAATATTATTCTGCTTTGTCTCTTAGTGGGTAAGCCAGCGATACAGTTGTACGGAACGGTATCTAACCCTGCTATATACCAGTTAACATAATATTTATCTATGCCTACAGAGCGTTTGAAAACCCTTGACAATGCGGTTCTGACAAATCAATCAGGAAGACGAGTTATTTTAAAATGGAATTCAGAAAGGTGTCAATGTTTCATCTTGTGTAGTTATTCTGCGCCGGAACCTTCGGCGTCTGTGATATAACAGCTATAACTCCCGGATCCATGATCAGAATCTATATTTCTGTAGAGCGTTAGAAACCTATAGACAGTGCTGTACTGTAAACATTCTTCTTCCGTCTTATCAGGCAAACAGTTGTTTCGAAACGTGACTCAGAACTGTGTCAAGTTTGCTTTCAAACTCCTTATCCTTATTCTGAATCCACATTTATTTAAATCATTGGAATGACCATGTGAATGGGGTTAGGGGGTTGTGGGCTGAAGAAGTCGTGGATGCCGATGATGTGTATGATGATGGAGGCGATGATTCGGAAGACATCGATGTTGAAAATGATCAGCCTGCATGTGAAGCGTCGGTCGGTGTACAGTATTGGGCCAATTCCATGCTGGAATATTGCTAAAAGCATACTCACTCACTCACTCACTCACTCACTCACTCACTCACTCACTCCGCGTGTCATACAAAGAGGTCGGATTTTCATTCATGTTTGAAACTAATTTTCTACACTAATGTTCCCTAATAAAGAACGTTTTACATTCGACAACTCCTTCACAAACGTAAAAACGTGTGTCCCGGCTTCGGGACCCAACTACTGACATTTATACCCCTATGTCTGTATTCCAGTATGTAATTAATTATTCATACTCTTGGGGCGCTTTTAAAGCTGAATGCATATATTTGGTGATAAATGTGCCCGGTAGTAAAAGGTATATATTAATGGTAAACCAAATCAACGCCAAATGAAAATGGCATGACAACATTCCATGCAACTAGGCCTAATGTATTTAGCACGAAAACAAAACTATTGTGTCTGTATCATGATTCTCCACGGGACAACTGCCATTCCTAGGAACCACCTGTCAATGTATACTACAGATCACGCTTTTACTTTGTGTTTTTCCACCTGATCGAGGTAAGACCAAGGGATGAAACTAGACCCGTGACTGCAAATACATAAATTGACAATGCAAGAGATTAGCCAATCTAGATTATCCGCCGAAACAGATTCAATTTTGGATATAGAGAGCAAATAGTGGTAAAATATTGTGAATGACCACTGAAAATCAGTGATGACACCAAATGTCCGCGAAAAGGATGAGCAAGTCCTGACCTACAGGTAGCGCCCGCACTATACATGTATGGTGGCATAAGCTCTAACTGTAAAAAAAATTTCTCCCTTGTACAAGTTGAACAGTTTGTTTTTTCAACTATATGAAAAAGTTTCTAATAAATCTATGGGATGCGTGGGTAATGGAAATAATGCCTTATGGGTAATTGAGTTGAAAGTACAGGCATTTCGATTTCTTTATACAATTGCCAATAACGTGTCACATTTGGTCTTGTAGATTTTTTAGAGAGTTTAATCTAAGGCCGCATGTACACGCCATGTAACGAGGAGAGGAGTTATACATTCATGTGAAGCATGTCCACTAAAGTTGTGAAGTAAATATCACAGATAAACAAGATACAACATATATAGACATCAATATGAACTACATCAGAATAATGACACTAGATAGATCAAAGTACAACATATATAGACATCAATATGAACTATGTTAGAATAATGACACTAGATAGATCAAAGTACAACATATATAGACATCAATATGAACTACGTAAGAATAATGGCATGTACATGCATGGCTGTGATGCACCTGGATACAATAAACAGTTAAAACAAAATCATGCTTATGTGAGTAATATGAACCGAACGAAGTGAAACCAAACACGTTTGACAAACAAATAAATATAACCAGTGAGATATCAGAACTATTGTCGTTCTTGAAACTGGCGGACGTCAGCGAGGGGTAGCCAGTATGTTCAATGTTCAATGTGTCCTGTAGACACAAAATGTTACGGGTCGACCCGTCTCCGCACGGGGCGCACTAGGACAAGATCACTCGTTCTAATCTGCTTAACTGAGCATTGGGCGGCCATCTCTTGAGCGATGTTATATTAAATAGTGACCGATGTGTATTTGATATTTAAATCAGCGTTTTAGTGTCTGGCATGGACATCATTGTAGCTTAGCTGACAAACAAAATGGCTTCTGCTAAAACAAGATCACTATATACTGATCATATACTTTATTTCTGTAATCATCAGCCGTACGCGTTTTGGAAACTCGACTTTCCAACGAATTAATCCTGACTTTCTCTAGTATTAAATTGCGTCAGTTTTGCGTAAGATAGCACTGACTCGATCTCATGATCAATCCAGTTACTAACCATGGCCGCTGCTAGTTATTTGTGCAAACATATCGGATGAAATAAACATACAATGAATTCTCGTTTAGTAGAAGAGACCCTCATGTAGAGAACTTCCTTTGGCCCCGGAACGCTCACTATATGATTATCGTGGACATGAGATGTGTTATTTATATATTTAAATAATATTTCTTCATTCATTGTGACCAGTTATGAAGTGTGTATGACTAATGTATTGCCAGGTTGTTATAACAGATGAAAACAAACCATCTTCACTGATATAAATAACTCTACACAATTTGCAAAGTCCTCAATAGGAACCCAACATTTCTGTTAACAGTACCCTTTGTCATATGAAATTACCCGTTTTTACCCCACTGAATACTCCAAAGCTTCATGTAGGGTTGGCATATCTTCAGTTAGGGTTGGCATATCTTCAGTTAGGGTTGGCATATCTTCAGTTAGGGTTGGCATATCTTCAGTTAGGGTCGGCATATCTTCAGTTAGGGTCGGCATATCTTCAGTTAGGGTTGGCATATCTTCAGTTAGGGTTGGCATATCTTCAGTTAGGGTTGGCATATCTTCATGTAGGGTTTGGCATATCTTCAGTTGGGGTTGGCATATCTTCAGTTAGGGTTGGCATATCTTCAGTTAGTGTTGACATATCTTCAGTTGGGGTTGGCATATCTTCAGTTAGTGTTGGCATATCTTCATTTAGGGTTGGCATATCTTCAGTAAGGGTTGGAATATCTTCATTTAGGGTTGGCATATCTTCAATTAGGGTTGGCATATCTTCAGTTAGTGTTGACATATCTTCAGTTGGGGTTGGCATATCTTCAGTTAGTGTTGGCATATCTTCATTTAGGGTTGGCATATCTTCAGTTAGGGTTGGAATATCTTCATTTAGGGTTGGAATATCTTCATTTAGGGTTGGCATATCTTCAGTTAGGGTTGGCATATCTTCAGTTAAGGGTTGGCATATCTTCAGTAAGGGTTGGCATATCTTCAGTTGGGGTTGGCATATCTTCAGTTAGGGTTGGCATATCTTCAGTTAGGGTTGGCATATCTTCAGTTGGGGTTGGCATATCTCAGTTAGTGTTGGCATATCTTCATTTAGGGTTGGCATATCTTAAGTAAGGGTTGGCATATCTTCATTTAGGGTTGGCATATCTTCAGTTAGGGTTGGCATATCTTCAGTTAGGGTTGGCATATCTTCAGTTAGTGTTGGCATATCTTCATTTAGGGTTGGCATATCTTCAGTAAGGGTTGGCATATCGTCAGTTAGTGTTGGCATTTTTGCGGACTGAGTGGGGGATGACGAGACATTTAATCTCAACACCTCAATATATACACGTATCTCCCAACATGTTTTAAATTACATCATATAGAAAATCTTTAACCCAATTATTGCTGTTTGACGGTGTATGTCCAAGGTACAACATTATTTCAAGCGGGACATGTAAATCTGTAAGCCACACGTTGACGTGCCCTATACACACCATCATGACATGTCCTTCAAACCCTATGTTTACATGCCCAGTTAACTCTTTGCCGACATGCTCAGTAAGGCCTATGTTGACACGTCCTGTTAACCCTATGTCGACATGCTCTGTAAACCCTATCTCGACATGTCCCGTAAACTCTACATCGACATGCTCTGTAAACCCTATCTCGACATGTTCTGTAAGCTGTATGCTGACATATCCCGTAAACTCTATCTCTACATGTCCTGTAAACCCTATCTCGACATGCTCTGTAAGGCCTATGTTGACATGCCCCCTAAGCCCCATGAACACATATCTGTAAGCCACATGTTGACATGCCAAGCAGACCCTATGTCAACATGCCATGCAAACCCTATGTCGACATGTTGACATGCCCTATAAGCCCTATGATGCCATGCTCTGTAAGCCCCAATGTTGCCATGCCCTGTAAACCTCATGTTGACATGCCCTGTAAACCCTTTGTCGATATGCTCTGTATGTCATATGTTAACATACACTGTTAACCAAGTTTTTTTAAATGAGCTTAATTTATGGTCTCCATATTTAAACATAGAAAGTTCAGACACATTTTTTAAAGGCAGAAGAAGACATATCCTTTGCATGCATTCGATATATTGTTTCAAATTCATGACGTACATTTATCTTTTTTCTCAAAGGGGATAATATTTGTCATACATCTATCGCATGGCATGTTAAGACAGACGGTTGTAAATTTAGCGACACAACCGTTTCCATAATCATAAGAAATCTTTGCTAAAAGTCTCACCTCCTGCGGCACCAGGAAACATAGGGGGCGATGTGGTGAATGGCACTTGCGTCAACGAGGATGTAGACAGCGACGTTTCATTAACATCATTCTCTTCAATCCCTTCACTCAGCACACAGCTCGTATTCAGTGCCATCATGTCCTCCGTAAGACCAGTGATTCTTTGCTTTGAGTCATGCAGATCATCAATGGTCTGATTTAACTGATTGTTTAAACTCTGAATGTCAGTGCGTAACTTTTGCTGCATTCCCCGCAAGCCCTCCCTGCATGATTGTTTATCTTTGGTGAGTTGTTCAATCGCTTGGCTCATCTTCACACAGCTTGTATTCAGTGTCATCAGACCCTGTCTAAGAGCAGTGTTCACCATCTTTGCATCTCGAAGACCAGCTTCCGTCTCATTCAGCTGCAGTTGTAAACTTTGGATGTCTTGGGTCAGCTCGCCACTTAGTTTTTCAAGACTCTCTTTGAAAGTGTCTCTCTCCCGTTCAACGTGTCTAAACTGTTGTGTTACTGCCTGAAATTGTGTCTTTGTGTTGTGTACACTTGCTTTCAGGCTGTTGACTTCGTCTTGGACACGTCCGCTAATCATATCTTCAATGTAACCTTTTTTCAGAATGTCAGTTATCACTTGTTTCACTAGACCCTTCATCAAGGCAGGAATGAACTTGTTAGTCAGGCTCTCTTTCAGAGATGAGCCCAACGTGCTAAATGTATTATTCATTTTAGTCTCAAGATTAACAGCTGTATGTTTCCATGCGTTGATCTCTCCCTCTAGTAGGTTCAGTCGGCCAGTGAAAGCTGTCAAACTGGTGTCAGCATGTACGACACTGACACCATACAACCACACAAGACCGATGACTATTACTGTTGATACCGTCTCCATGGCGCAGTTTACTGTATACGGCTACACTGATGCGGGATGTATATACCATGGCCCGACTCAAGTGTTATGGCCGAAAGCCAGCTCAGGGAAACAGATGCTCTATAATTACTTCCTGTGTGTACATGTGGCATCGTAACAGCAAACATGACTAAGAGCTTCATCAGAATATTGTGTTTCATACCTGGAATACTTCTAACGTTTGTGAATTTATAGTGTAAACAGGAGGACGTAAAACGCACTCAAACAATATAGTGTACTTTAACAGACAGTACATATTTACATTATCTTACAATACTTTATGGTGGATCCAACAAACACGCCGATTTACTTAAACATCCTCAATAAGAATGTCAGCTTGAACGGTTTGACTTTGCAAGGATTATGATTTAGTTCAGGTTACATGAATTGTTAGTGGAAATATCAGAGCATCAGTTATTCCACAAAGTCCTCGTTTAGGCAAGTTGATTTCATGGCAAGCCTTGCCGATGTCAGTGTGACCTTACATAAGAACCACAGTTCAGGAAGGGGCTGTGGATCTGGAAACTCGGGACAGGATCTGTTTGAAAAAACAACACAGCTCATAAATTTATAAAAATAAAAAACTCGACCTCTACGTGCTTGTAAATAAATCCCATCTCCTCTGACACAAATTCTTCTATCTGCTCGGAAAAGTTTGGAATCAGCTTTCTCCTGTGAACATGATTCTTTTCAGGTGAATAATTGACATGCCTTTGCATGCGTTTGTGACGGGTTCAACCGGTAGGACAGGGTGCGCTCATCGTTTCGTGAATACCTGGTATCACCACTATTTGATAGTGATTCATAAACACATGCTCATCAAATAGTCTGAATAGTACAATCGACTCTGGTTTTGGAAGAGATTTCTTATGAATATGGAAAGGGTTTTGTGACATTCACGTTCCAGGATTGTAAAAAATATTGTGCCTTCATTTGTAAAAGTGTTCTGTGCCTCTACGCCAATCTATTCTTTTCATAAGTCAGACAATTTTAATGTGGAGTCTTGCTTCCACCAGCTAAGACATATAACTTACTTCATCAAGTAAAGTATATATTTGCTATTAAATAATTCTCTAAGTATTTATATTACACACAAAATATCACAACCTGTGGTAATATTAACAGCAACATTTCTCGCTGTTTGTACCCAGTAAGTATGCGGGAGAACACTGTTCCCACCTTTATGATATATATGTTTGTAATCAGTATGTGTGCCGTAGGACACTGTTCCCACTTTTATCAAATATATGTGTGTAGCCCTTGTGAGATATATGTGTGTAGCCTTTGTGAGATATATGTGTGTAGCCATTGTGAGATATATGTATGTAGCCTTTGTGAGATATATGTGTGTAGCCTGTATGTATGCGGGACACTGTTCCCACCTTTGTGAGATATATGTGTGTAGCCTGCATGTATGCGGGACACTGTTCCCATCTTTGTGAGATATATGTGTGTAGCCTTTGTGAGATATATGTGTGTAGCCTTTGTGAGATGTATGTGTGTAGCTTGTATGTATTTGAGACACTGTTCCCACCTTTGTGAGATATATCTGTGTAGCCTGTATGTATGTGAGACACTGTTCCAACCTTTGTGAGATATATGTGTGTAGCTTTTGTGAAACCTATGTGTGTAGCCTGTATGTATGTGAGACACTGTTCCCATCTTTGTGAGATATATGTGTGAAGCCTGCATGTATGTTGGACATAGTTCCCACCTTTGTGAGATATATGCATGTAGCCTTTGTGAGATATATGTGTGTAGCATGTATGTATGTGGGACATAGTTCCCACCTTTGTGAGATATATGTGTGTATCCTGTATGTGTGCGGGAGACTGTTCCCATGTTTGTGAGATATATGTGTGTATCCTGTTTGTGTGCGGGACACAGTTCCCACCTTTGTGAGATATATATGTGTGTAGTCTGTATGTGTGCAGGAGACTGTTGCCATGTTTGTGAGATATATATGTGTGTAGCCTATATGTATGTGGGACACAGTTCCCATTCTTTGTGATATATATGTGTGTAGCCTGTATGTATGTGAGACACTGTTCCCAATTTTGTGAGGTAAATATGTATGTAGCCTGTATGTGAGGTTTGAAGAGGAGAGACATATATATATATATATCCCTCTGGCATCCTGCCCCCGGGTGAAAAACAACAGCAAATAACCAAAACCCTATCCATAGCTCTGAATTCATTTTCGGAATCTGGTCAGTCGTAAGAAGAGAGTGTAAAGAAGGTGTCACCCGCTGGGAAGTAGCTTGATTAAAATAGTGAAATGGGAGAGAGAAAATAAATATCTCGCCAATCAGAAATATTTCTTTTTAAATTTCAGCAGCAATAATATGCAACACATCTCCATTTCTTAATCTATATCGCCCACATGAGGCCTGTGCTGAACATGCATATGTCGCGAAGCCAGCATGGTGCCACCCTGTGAATTACCGATATTGTATTTAGCAGAGAAAACAGCAGGCAGCTTTAGACCTAAGCCGGAATGCCGTGACGTCATCGACAGTGTGACGTCACTATCATTGTTCATTTGGCGCCACGTCAGCTGGGCGACCCTCGGCTCGGTCTGGGGTTACCGAGGGCAGCAAGATGTAAACAAACATGTTTTTTATTGTGTTTTTCCCGATTAATTACAAACTTATGGCGTAAAATTAACACAAAAATATATGACGACATGCATGAACATATCAGTGTTTACATACCAATCACACATCATCTCTATTTACACTCAGTTAACAATTTTCTTACCTGATCATGCGAAGTTCCAAACACAACAAATGACAAAATGTCTGAAATAGTTTTTACAAGTTTTATTCATCTCCAAAAACAACAAACAGTTTCACGTAAATAAAGATATATTTACAAACGACGACATGAACGGCACACCACGTCACTGTCAGGTCACCTCCACCGTCTACACAAACACGACACTGACGTCACTGAGCGCCGCGGGACACGAGGAGATCCACCACTCGCTGATGTCCCCTGTTTCTCGCCCAGTCGGCCGCCGTCCGCCCCGAGTTGTTCCTGGCGTCGATGTCCACCACGTTCAGTGAGAGCACAAACTTCACCGTCGCCAAGGGTCCTGCCCTACAGGCCCAGTGAAGGATGTTGTCACCGTTCACGTCCACCAGTGACACATCGGCCCCTTTACTCACAAGGAGCTCCACCACGTCTCTGTGTCGCCACTCTGCTGCCGTCATCACCGGTGTCCTGCTCCCCCCTCCTCTACTGTTGATGTCCACCACGTTCAGAGACAGCACAAACTCCACCGTCTCCAAGTGGCCTCCCATACAGGCGAGGCGAAGGATGTTGTCACCGTCCTTGTCCACCAGTGACACATCGGCCCCTTTACTCACCAGGAGCTCCACCACGTCGCTGTGTCCCCACCGTGCTGCCGGCATCACCGGTGTCCAGCTCCACTTTCCCCGCCTACAGTTGACGTCGATGCCCCGCGACAGGAGCCGCTTCACCTCCTCCAGGTTCCCCCTCCTGCTGGCGACATAGAGGTCCCTGCAGTCTGCTGGTGATGGAGTCGCTGTAACACAAAGTAAACTCTGTACACTTCCAGACATCTTTGTCATACATCTACATGGTTCACACCTCAACGTGGTGACACGTGACACGGTACGTCATCAAACACTTCCACCATGGCTGACAATACAAGGACCAGCTGGTTCATGTAATCAAGGATTACGTCGTCAATGTTTAAAATCTTTCTGTCACATCCAGTTGTTGTAACATTATTCTGTGTATGGCTGGAGAGTGTTAACGTTTGATGAACTGAGCTTTATAAGATGATACTGTCAGTAACGTTGCTGTTTGGAAATATTAGCTAGATCTAATAAGACATGACATTGGAGTATGTCAGTCTGTTTGTTTGCAGTAGTCCAGCAATAAGATGGCGGAGTCGGATAAAGACAGACAGTCCAGTGGCTGACAACATGAGCACCGATCGACACAACTGGTATACGATGACATGCATGAAGCAAGTCAGAACCCCCACGGGTCTATACCCCAGCTTGTTAATTGTTGGAGGGATTAAAGTGTGGGCTTTCTACCTGCTGAGTTGTCCCCAGTGGTCCTTGTGGTCGTCACTGGTGTCCCCTCGGTCCGACTCGGATCACTCGAGGCTGAAACACAGAACATGCTGTTCAGAAAAATATACAAACCACACAAGCATTATACATACACGATATGGCCATTTGACCAATTTTATGTATTTGAATTTTGTACTGATTAGACCTAGATCTAATACAATTTTAAATACGTTAATCTAAGTAGAGGTAAATCATTACTAAAAATATAAGGTAGTCTAGCGACTAACAAATCACTCAAACGACTATCATAAATATACAACACAAACATTGAGATTGCTGTTCATCTGAGCCGCGCGTTTGTACACGCTTGTTGGATTGAGACTTATCTTGGTACTGACAAGACAGTTAACTTGTTTCAAATTATCAGGATAATAATAGATAGAGGTTATCACGTGAATGTGTTTCGGGATGGTAAATATCCTGCATTAGGAATAAACATTGTATTTAGCGAGACTTGGCGAGCTAAATACATAGTGTTCCCAATTATTAAATGATTAGTATTTTATCTGAGTGCCTTAACTTTGGGTGGAATTGTTGTGACAATGAATTGGCCCCGCAAGTTGGTGCGTTATATCTACATTTTAGCATCAATTCTGTGAATAGCAAACCAACATGGTACATACAGGTCAAATACTGAACATTGTTTTCTAATTTTCATTTCCTTCTATATTATTCCTGTGTATTTAAATTATACTCAGGGTTTTGTTGTCAGTGAGAATCAGTGCACATCGTTATATATATTTTGACCAGGATATGACGCCCACCAGTGTAATTCTAGAGGAAAACATATTTCTTGTGACTTTCAACGTCTGTGGACAATGGACATTTTACACAATTGTTACATGTCAAATCGACAACTGTCTTGATGGTTTCTCTGTGTCCTTATTTCCTTTGCCATTTGATGGTAACAGGCTACTAAATGCTGCGACCTATCGTAAATTATTTGTTGTTCCAAGTGACTATGCTTGATGTTTTATTCCCCAAACATTCTCTTAACTAGATTCTGAAACTGGTGAATTTTACATCGTTTGATGTCTCGGGCTATACAGTATTACAAACGTCGAAATACGACATGCCACAGAATAATATTTCAGTGATGACATTTTTATGATGATATACAATGAATGTAAAAGAGCAACAGGTCTACTTGACTAAGCGCGTGTGCAACACAGTGGAAATTCAGTGTCAGGAAAACTCTTTGCAACACATTCCGAGCGGTGGCGGCAGTACATTCATCACAGATCAGCTTACTACACTACAAGATGTTCGATACGATATTTGGTTGTGTAAAGAAGGGAAAAAACACGTGGCTCTACAAAGTGATAAGTTTGAAATGCCGATTGCCCGTGTGACATGCGCCAAATTGTTTTCGCATTTAACGTCCGTTCTAAATTAGTCATAAAATAATGAACATTTGCCCTTATACATTCTACATTTCTTCGCCATCCTTAAAAACAATGTTTTGCCCTGCAAAATACATTTGTTTCACATAATATTTCCCGATTTCGAAGAACAAACCTGAGTGTACAAATAATGACGCTGATACATTCGGCCCCGTCTGTAGCGGGGTTGTATTTCTGCCATTCTATGATGCAGAACAACGTTTTGAAAAATGCGAGCGAAAAAACGCAACCGACACTTAACTGAATAGATTTAGAATAATATCATATAGTCTTCAGTCTCAGTTGTAAATAATTGTTAATAGTTCTGAGGATGAAACTTACAATCATATTTTCTTTGATAGGCATTTAGAAGTTGGAGTACTAAGTAAGGATAATAATTCTGCATCTAAGAAAATTAATAAAGTTTGCTCTAGCCGCATGTGTTGTTTAATACAATATAGTTTTGCCCGTAAGTATTATAACGTCAAAGCAACGCAAGCGTCCTCATGCTTTAACTATAATAGTTCAGGGCAACACTTTGCTTAATTACACCACACACGGGGGTAGAGCAAACTATATTTCTTAACTAAAACTCAACAGTGTGATAAAATGACGTTTTAAGATAAATTAACAGCAGGCAAGGTAACAACAAGTACCTTCTTTCAACGTCTTTGAGAAAGCTGAGATGCAAGTTTCTTTACCTAATTATTTTTCCAGATAGACGTGTGGGATATGAAAAGGTAAGATTCTCAACAGCGCCATTGGCTTTAACCATACCAGTAAACACGCACATTGTATTCCACCATCCCTGTCGCTCACGACCGACCGACTCCGTGGTCTAGTGGTAGAGCGTCAGCCCGGAGAGCGGAAGGTCCGGGGTTCGATCCCCGGCCGCGTCATACCAAAAAACGTTAAAAGATGGTACTTGTTGTTACCCTGTCTGTCGCTCTCGGCTAAAACAAGGACTGGTCACCTCGAAGTCAGTATATTGTGTCTGAGTGGGGTATTCATGTTAAACTGCGGCATGGTATCTCAGTGAGCTGGCACTATAAATCGGCATCAGTTCGGAATTGTACAAGCACCCCCCCCCCCCCCCACACACACACACACACACGTGCATGCACGTCGCTATATAGACTCCATCTATTGACTGTAACGACTTGATCTATTGACTGTAACGTAACGACTCGATCTATTGACTGTAACGTAACGACTCCACCTATTGACTGTAACGACTCGATCTATTGACTGTAACGTAACGACTCCATCTATTGCCTGTAACGACTCGATCTATTGACTGTAACGTAACGACTCGATCTATTGACTGTAACGTAACGACTCCATCTATTGCCTGTAACGACTCCATCTATTGACTGTAACGTAACGACTCGATCTATTGACTGTAACGTAACGACTCCACCTATTGACTGTAACGACTCGATCTATTGAATGTAACGTAACGACTCGATCTATTGACTGTAACGTAACGACTCAATCTATTGACTGTAAGATTGTTTGTTTTGTTTGTTGTTTAACGCCGCACTCAGCAATATGCCATTGCCCTGATACACCATTTTTGTTCATTAAAAATCATCAGACCATGAACTCATATTTTTGTTTTGATCGGAAAATTACCGATAACAACTGACCAGTTACTTAACCTTATCACAAGCAAACACAGCACCGAAGCTATCGCGACGGTAGCCACCATTTTGAATGTTGAATGTGTAAAACAATTTTGGCCGCTGACATAGTGATGAAGTGTTGCCTTGTCGCTGTTACATTTCGTATTGCTTATATTCAAAATCTGTCCTTAACATGTTATTTGAGTGTAGATGAATGTGCCCAGGTATTTAACTCAGTCACAGCAATAACACATGTGCATGCTTAAGTCCGTTAAGTAGGAGCTAAATCTGTGGGTTAAAGACTCGTTGGCTATCTGAAGTTTGATGTAGTAAGCATATAAACATCATCCAAACATTATTGGGAAATATGATGTTTATAATTTATCGATAAAGGATTTTCAAAAAGCATATCCTGAATGACTATTATTTCGCGCCGCTTTTAACACCACGGTGAGTCAGCTTGATGTGGGAGGAACATCCGAAGTATGGTATGGTGTTGGGTGGTATTCGGCGATCTCTGCACGGCGAACTGCGCCGCCTAAAACGACTGGGTCAACCGAACCTATTCATCAATTTAAAAAGGTGTCGGAGACGGGAATGAATTGGAAAAGATTTTTTTTTTCTTGTCTGTCTGTCCTTTTGTATAAATAATATAATTATATTTACGGGACTAAATGTTATTTAACTGGACTCTCCTAAAAGAGTCAATATTATTCTGCTTGGTCTCTTAGTGGGTAAGCCAGCTTGCTATACAGGTGTACGGAACGGTATCTATACCTGCTGTATACCAGTTAACAGAATATTGATCTATGTCTACAGAGCGTTAGAAACCCCTTGACAATGCGGTTCTGGCAATTCAATCAGGCAGACGAGTTATTTTTTAAATGGAACTCAGAAATGTGGCAATGTTTCATCTTGTGTAGTTATTCTTCGCTGGAACCTTCGGCGTCTGTGATATAACAGCTATAACTCCTGTGTCCATGATCAGAATATATATTTCTGTAGAGCGTTAGAAACCTAGAGACAGTGCTGTACTGTAAACATTCTTCTTCCGACTTATCAGGCAAACAATTGTTTTGAAACGGGACTCAGAACTGTGGCAAGTTTGCTCTCAAAATCATTATCCTTATTCTGAATCCACATTTATTTAAATCATTGGAATGACCATGTAAATGGGGTTAGGGGGTTGTGGGCTGAAGAAGTCGTGGATGCCGATGATATGAAGCGTCTGTCGGTGTGCAGTGTTGGGATCAAGTACATGTGAAGCATCTTTCGGTGTACAGTGTTGGGGTCAAGTACATGTGAAGCGTCTGTCGGTGTACAGTGTTGGGGTTAAGTACATGTGAAGCGTCTGTTGGTGTACAGTGTTGGGGTCAAGTACATGTGAAGCGTCTGTCGGTGTACAGTGTTGGGGTCAAGTACATGTGAAGCGTCTGTCGGTGTACAGTGTTGGGGTCAAGTACATGTGAAGCGTCTGTCGGTGTACAGTGTTGGGGTCAAGTACATGTGAAGCGTCTGTCGGTGTACAGTGTTGGGGTCAAGTACATGTGAAGCGTCTCGATGTGCTGTGTTGGGGTCAAGTACATGTAAAACGTCTGTCGGTGTACAGTGTTGGGGTCAAGTACATGTGAAGCGTCTGTCGGTGTACAGTGTTGGGGTCAAGTACATGTGAAGCATCTTTCGGTGTACAGTGTTGGGGTTAAGTACATGTGAAGCGTCTGTCGGTGTACAGTGTTGGGGTTAAGTACATGTGAAGCGTCTGTCGGTGTACAGTGTTGGGGTCAAGTACATGTGAAGCGTCTGTCGGTGTACAGTGTTGGGGTCAAGTACATGTGAAGCGTCTGTCGATGTACTGTGTTTGGGTCAAGTACATGTGAAGCGTCTGTCGGTGTACAGTGTTGGGGTCAAGTACATGTGAAGCGTCTGTCGGTGTACAGTGTTGGGGTCAAGTACAGGTGAAGCGTCTGTCGGTGTACAGTGTTGGGGTCAAGTACGTGTGCAGCGTCTGTCGGTGTACATTGTTGGGTCAAGTACATGTGAAGCGTCTGTCGGTGTACAGTGTTGGGTTAAGTACATGTGAAGCGTCTGTCGGTATACAGTGTTGGGGTCAAGTACATGTGAAGTGTCTGTCGGTGTACAGTGTTGGGGTCAAGTACATGTGAAGCGTCTGTCGGTGTACACTGTTTGGGTCAAATTCACGTGAAGCGTCTGTCGGTGTACACTGTTTGAGTCAAGTACATGTGAAGCGTCTGTCGATGTACAGTGTTGGGGTCAAGTACATGTGAAGCATCTGTCAATGTACAGTGTTGGGGTCAAGTACATGTGAAGCATCTGTCGGTGTACAGTGTTGGGGTTAAGTACATGTTAAGCGTCTGTCGGTGTACACTGTTTGGGTCTAGTACATGTGAAGCATCTGTCGGTGTACAGTGTTGAGGTCAAGTACATGTGAAGCATCTGCCGGTGTACAGTGTTGGGGTCAAGTACATGTGAAGCGTCTGTCGGTGTACAGTGTTGGGGTCAAGTACATGTGAAGCGTCTGTCGGTATACAGTGTTGGGGTCAAGTACATGTGAAGCGTCTGTCGGTGTACAGTGTTAGGGTCAAGTACATGTGCAGCGTCTGTCTGTGTACAGTGTTGGGTCAAGTACATGTGAAGCGTCTGTCGGTGTACAGTGTTGGGTCAAGTACATGTGAAGCGTCTGTCGGTATACAGTGTTGGGGTCAAGTACATGTGAAGTGTCTGTCGGTGTACAGTGTTGGGGTCAAGTACATGTGAAGCGTCTGTCGGTGTACACTGTTTGGGTCTAGTACATGTGAAGCATCTGTCGGTGTACAGTGTTGAGGTAAAGTACATGTGAAGCGTCTGTCGGTGTACAGTGTTTGGGTCAAATTCACGTGAAGCGTCTGTCGGTGTACACTGTTGGGGTCAAGTACATGTTAAGCATCTGTCAATGTACAGTGTTGGGGTCAAGTACATGTGAAGCGTCTGTCGGTGTACAGTGTTGGGGTCAAGTACATGTGAAGCGTCTGTGGATGTACAGTGTTGGGTTCAAGTACACGTGAAGCGTCTGTCGGTGTACAGTGTTGAGGTCAAGTACATGTTAAGCATCTGTCAATGTTCAGTGTTGGGGTCAAGTACATGTGAAGCGTCTGTCGGTGTACAGTGTTGGGGTCAAGTACATGTGAAGCGTCTGTGGATGTACAGTGTTGGGTTCAAATACACGTGAAGCGTCTGTCGGTGTACAGTGTTGGGGTCAAGTACATATGAAGCATCTGTCGGTGTACAGTGTTGGGGTCAAGAACAGTCACAGAGAACCATCTTCGAAGGCAACTGAGGGCTGCTACAGGAACAAATGTCAGTGACCAAACCACAAGAAACCGTATGATGGAAAGAAACATCTGGCCCCGAAGTAAAGCCGTTAGACCGCTTTTTCTTCCTCGTCACAGAGCAGCCAGAGACGCATGGGCACGGCAACACCGGCAGTGGACAAGAAAACAGTTTTCAGCAGTTCTTTTTTCTGACGAATCTCGGTTCTCACTGAAGCATTATGACGGTTGTGTTCTTGTCTACAGACGGCGTGGGGAACGTTTTACTGACGTCAACGTCCGTGAGCACAATCGTTTTGGTGGTGGTAGTGTCATGGTGTGGGCCGCCTTCTCATTTGATCACAGAACCAATCTGTACGTCATTAACGGGAATTTGAATGCTGTTTGCTACAGGGATGAGATTCTGAGACCAATGGTGATTCCTTGTCTTGAATAGGCCCACAGGCGGTTTTCCAGGATGACAATGCTAGACCTCATCGTGCACGCATAGTCACTGACTTTCAGGGACAAAACAATGTTACTCGCATGGAATGGCCAGCATATTCTCCTGATATGGCACCCATTGAACACGTATGGAATCTGTTAACGAGACGTGTTAGAGAGAGCCACCCTCCACCTCAAGATTTGCGCCAGCTTCCTCAATGGCTGAGTTTGGAGTGGCATGCTATCCCACAGAACACACTACTGACATTAGTGACATCCATGAGGCGTCGTTGTGTTGCATGTGTGGCTGCTGGGGGCGGACACACTCGTTACTGACTTTTCTCTCTTGGCCTGGATTTCCAATTTTGACCCCAGTGACATTATTGACATCAACGCTTGTTCACGTTATGAAATGTTGTGGGTTGTTCATGATTCTTTCGGGGGCACGGGTGGCCCAGTCGTCTAAGGCGCCGAGATTCGCTGTGCAGAGTTGCGTCCCTTGGGCACGCCAGAAACCGTGGGTTCGAATCCCGGTCCGCCCCGATTATGTTTCTAGGTTTGTCAGCACCATACACGTGCTCGTGGGTTTCCCCGAAGTGGTAAACGTCTAAGACCTGCATCACTTCGGCCTTTCCTCCCACATTAAGCTGACACGCCGTGATATAACTGGAATACTGTTAAAAGCGGCGTTAAAACCAACTCACTCACACTCACGTTATGAAATGTAATGGATTGTTCATGATTCTTTCTTACTGTATACTCGATTATTATTGAATTTACTACACAGTAGTATAGTTAGCCTAGTTTAGAGTTTGCGTATAAATGAAGCAGGATTAGAACGCTCCTGTATATTTTCACCCCGTATAAATGTCGTGTTACTAATAACTTATTTAAGAGACGCACATTTTTTCTAGTTTTTACCTGAGTCATGCACTCTTTTCTATATTGTAATGAATATTGGTGGGAGTATTCATACCGACGTTAACCTATGTACCTGGGTATTGGGTGTCCCGTCTTTGAAAACTCTCCAAAGGAAATAGGATCTTGGCACATTGATATTATGATCAGAAGGACGATGTGCTTTGAAAAAAAGACTGCCAGAGACAGACGCTAAACGGTTTCGGAACGAAACCCTAACGTCTCAACACACACGAAACCTTGCACACAAACATTCTTCTGTGCACGTGAGCTGGAAAGCTCTCTACGCTTGCTGCACTGCAATATCTATGATCAGAGTAGGAATGCGTCGTCTACAATGTAATGGGGTGAGGTGAAATTGGGTTTAACATCGCGTCCAAGATTATTGCACTTACATAGCGACGTGCATGCACGTGTGTGTGTGTGTGTGTGTGTGTGTGTGTGTGTGTGTGTGTGTGTGTGTGTGTGTGTGTGTGTGTGTGTGTGTGTGTGTGTGTGTGTGGCTGCTTGTACTAGACCGGACAGATGCCGATTTATAGTGCTAGCCCACTGAGATACCATGCCACAGTTTAACATGAATACCCCACACAGACACAGTATACTGACTCCGAGCCGACCAGTCCTTGTTTTAACCCCTTAATGCCGCCAGACAGGATAACAACAAGTACCATCTTTTAACGTCTTTTTGTATGACGCGGCCGGGGATCGAAACCCGGATCTTCCGCTCTCCGGACGGACGCTCTACCACTAGACCAGGGAGGCGGTCTACAATGTAATGAACGCCTAAGAGTTATTGTCATTCCGGAAACTGGCGGAAGTCAGTGTTTAGCCAATATGTTCAATGTGTTCTGCTTTTTTTCAAAGGAAATAATATATTTCATGCATCTTTTGCATGGACTCATTCATGGACATCTCAATTTTCTGAGACAGTTTTATGTAGGATTACACTGTTATGTGTCAGTGTATTTTATTGTTTTACACATTTATAACACAGAAAGTTTAGACACAAGTTAAAGGCAGAAGAAGACATACGAGAAATTACTGCTAAAAGTCTCACCTCCTGCAACACCAGAAAACGAAGGGGGCGATGTTGTGAATGACACCTGCGACAACGACGATGTAGTCAGCGACCTGTCAGTAACATTGACCTCTTTAATATCTTCTCTCATCACACAGCTTGTATTCAGTGTCACAATGTCCTCTGTAAGACCAGTGATTACTTGATTTGAATCATGTAGGTCATCAATGTTCTGATTTAGTTGAATGTTTAAACTCTGAATGTCAGTTTTTAACTTTTGCTGCATTTCCTGCAAGCCCTCCCTGTATGATTGATCATCATGGGTGCGCGCTTCTATCTCTTCTCTCCTCACACAGCTTGTATTCAGTGTCATTAAGTCCTCCCTAAGAACAGTGTTCACCATCTTTGCATCACGAAGACCAGCTTTCGTCTCATTCAGCTGCAGCTGTAAACTGTGGATGTCAGTGTTCACCTCGCTACGAAGTTTTTCAAGACTTTCTTTGTAACTGTCTCTTTCCTTTTCTACACGTCTGAACTGTTGTGTTACTGCCTGAAGTTGTGTTTTTGTGTATTGTACACTGACTCTCAGTCTGTTAACTACATCAAGAATATGTCCGCTCATAATATTCCTAATGTTATACTCTTTCAGGATGCCGGTAATCGCTTGTCCCACTAGAGGATTTATCAGGGCAGGAATGAACGTGTCAGTCAGTTGATTTTTCAGTGATGACTCCCACGTCCTAAAGTGGTTTTTCATATCAGTCTTAATATTATCAACTCTTCCTTTCCATGCTTGGATACTTGCGGTCAGGACTCTCACTTGTCCAGTCAAGTCGGTCAAATTGGTATCAGCATGTGCGTCTCTGACACCACACAAGAACACAAGACTGATGAATACAACACTTGTTAGTTCCATCATGCAGAGATATGTTTAGCTCGCCGCAGTTACGAGAAGACTGACTTGGTGCTGGATCAACATCGCACTTAGCCTGAAGTGTTTGACAAAAAGCCAACTCAGGAATGCTCTGACAGAAAATTCCTGTGCGTTCATGTGGCACCACAGACACAAATAAGGCAGGTACCCTCATCAGGGTATTGTGTTACATACCAAGTATGTTGCCACAATAGCCTCGTGTTGAGAGTATTATTACTATTGAAGTAACTTGAAAAATATTAGATTTCTTGTTTACTTTAACTAATCTCGATACAACCCCTAACATTAATAATGTGCGTAAATTACCTCTCTTTGTTTCACGCTGCGGAACTTACTTATTGCCCATCCCCGACACCAAGGTCTATATGTCCAATGTACAACATATACCTTTGATCCACCCGTAGCAGACAGCCAGGCCTCTATGCCACATGCAGTCTCACATATACCTTTCTCCTCCAATCCCCCACCATGGCTAACAATCATTCTGTTTCTTAACGAAGACATTTGGATGCAAGTCGTTTGATAAGGCTAATACACATGTTGATTCCTTGTGATCGAAGTTACAGATCATGAACCAATCAAATTGGTATATCCAGATCTGTTCATGGCATTGTGGGGAGGTTAAAATGTGACACGTTTGCGCAGTGGAGCTCTTCAGGTTGAATGTGCCGGGACAAAAATCAAGTTTAGTCTGACAAACGTTTTATTAGAAAGGATGATACATCAACTACTGTTCAAACGAACACATATTTATTCACTTGCCCGTTGACCTGTTCCCAATTCAATAAAAGCTGGTTATGTCAACACCCAATACCCTTTCATCCTCGAAGATTATTTCCCCTCAACCGCTTTGGTGCTCATGTTCACCTTAGAGATTACCATTTGAGCCACCATGGCTCAAGCATCAAATATAATACAATGGAACTGTAGAGGACTTAGGAATAAATATAATGACTTACAACTCTTAATTCAAGATTTCAAACCAGGTGCAATATGTTTACAAGAAACATATTATAAAGACACTGATATTATCAACTAATTATCAACTCCTGAAGCATTTACAAGACCCATGTTTAGAATACCTTTTCGTTATTTTTGATAACATATGGACATCAGGTACGTTTCTTTCCTCATGACGTCAAAGCTATCGAAAAAGAAAGAACAAGGTGGAACAAAAATTAAACCTTTCTGCCACACATTAATTACTTAAACAATAAATGCCTGAAGCCACTTGCTCCATTGAAAGTCTTTTCCGATTCAAAGCGGGGAGGGGATAAGAAAACCCTCCTCCAACTGTAGAGCGCTCTAAACTGGATTACATCTCCATCGTATATGGTGGAGGTTGTAAACGTGAGTTTAAAAAAACCCTAGATTATATTCATCATCAGAGACTGAGGATTTGCCTTTGAGCCTTTACAGCTTCTCTGAGACAGAGTCAGTATGTGGAGGATGGTTTTGTTTTTAATCCTCTATATACAGAATGCTGTAATAAAAAGGTCATCTCTCACTCTACTCATCAATATTCTACTGCTGTCACATTTAGTCGCCCCATGTTGGAGGTATAGAGAATAAGAAACTATATCTGTGATGTAAGAAGCATGGCATTTTAGCGCCACACTAACACACCTGTTAGACGAGACATACATGTATAATCGACGTCAGTACTCTGCATGTCAGCTTGACCCGTTTGAACATTGGGGCACTAAGATCTAGTTAATTGCATATTAGTTATTTATGGAAACATTAATGGGCATCGGATGTTTCAAGAAAGTATGGAGATCGGCTAGATGACTTCACATTAAGTTTAGCCGATGTCAGAGTGACCTGTACGGAACTCGGTACAGGATGTTTGCACTTTTCCTAGACTTGCCAAACATTAATATTTGGTGTATTGCAAATAAAACAGGACATCTGCTGATGAGCTACCTCTAACTACTGCAGTTCGAGACACATTTCACATCAACAACAACTAAAACTCACTTACTCCTGGCTAAACCCCTAACTACAGCAGTTTGAGACACATTTGAAATCAACAACAACAACTCAAACTCACTTACTCCTGGCTAAACCCCTTACTACTACAGTTCGAGACACATTTGACATCAACAACAACTCAAACTCACTTACTACTGGCTAAACCCCTTACTACTACAGTTCGAGACACATTTCACATCAACAACAACTCAAACTCACTTACTCCTGGCTAAACCCCTTACTACTACAGTTCGAGACACATTTCACATCAACAACAACTCAAACTCACTTACTACTGGCTACACCCCTTACTAATCTAGTATGAGACACATATGACATCAACAACAACACTCACTCACTCATGGCTAAACATGTGACATCAACAACAACACTAGCTCACTCACTCCTGGCTAAACCCCTAACTACTCTGGTATGAGACACATGTGACATCAACAACAACACTCACTCACTCACTCCTGGCTAAACCCCTAACTACTCTAGTATAAGACACATGTGACATCAACAACAATACTCACTCACTCACTCACTCCTGGCTAAACCCCTTACTACTCTGGTATGAGACACATGTGACATCAACACCAACAACACTCACATATTCCTGATTAGACCTCCAACTAGGGGCGGTCGGGTAGCCTTGTGGTTAAAGCGTTCGCTCGTCACACCGAAGACCCGGATTCGATTCCCGACATGGGTACAATGTGTGAAGCCCATTACTGGTGTCCCCTGCCGTGATATTGCTGGAATACTGCTAAAGCATCACAAAACAACACTCACTCACTGACTACAACTACCGTAGTTCGAGACACATATGTTAATCAGCAACAACAGCAATATTCCTTTCAAAGCCCTGTGACGTCATTACTGGTGAAACCGATGACTTCTGTAGTATGATACATTAGCACAGAAACAACTAGTGCTGGGGATATTGTGCTCCTCCAATGTCAAAGAAAACGAGAGTCAGAACAAAACAAGACATTGGAGTAGTTGTCGTCATATGCACAGAGCAATTGCAAATCATTGGAGTAGCTGCCGTCATATACACAGAAAAATGGCAAAGCATTGGAATAGCTGTCGTCATATACACAGAACAATGGCAAAGCATTGGAAATAACTGTCGTCATCTACACATAACATTGGCAAATCATTAGAGTAGCTGGCGTCATATACACAGAACAATGGCAAGACATTGGAGTAGCTGTCGCCATATGCACAGAGTGAGTGTTGAGTGAGTATGGTTTTACCCCGCTTTTAGCAATATTCCAGCAATATCACGGCAGGGGACATCAGAAATAGGCTTCACAAATTGTACACATATTGGGAATCGAACCCGGGTCTTCGGCGTGACGAGCGAACGCTTTAACCACAAGGCTACCCGACCGCCCCTAGTTGGAGGTCTAATCAGGAATATGTGAGTGTTGTTGTTGTTGATGTCACATGTGTTTCATAACAGAGTAGTAAGGGGTTTAGCCAGGAGTGAGTGAGCTAGTGTTGTTGTTTATGTCACATGTTTAGCCATGAGTGAGTGAGTGTTGTTGTTGATGTCATATGTGTCTCATACTAGATTAGTAAGGGGTGTAGCCAGTAGTAACCACGCTTTAACCACTAGGGTATCCGACCTACCCCCATATGCACAGAACAATGGCAAAACACTGGAGTAGCTGTCGTCATATACACAGAACAATGGCAAAACACCGGAATAGCTGTCATCATATACACGGAACAATGGCAAAACACTGGAATAGCTGTCGTCATATACACGGAACAATGGCAAAACACTGGAGTAGCTGTCGTCATATACATAGAACAATGGCAAAAGACTGGAGTAGCTGTCGTCATATACACAGAACAATGGCAAAACACTGGAGTAGCTGTCGTCATATACACAGAACAATGACAAAACACTGGAATAGCTGTCGTCATATACACGGAACAATGGCAAAACACTGGAGTAGGTGTCGTCATATGCACAGAACTATGGGAAACCACTGGAGTAGGTGTCGTCATTTACACAGAACAATGGAAAAACATTGCAGTAGCTGGTCATTAACACAGAACAATGGCAAAACACTGGAGTAGGTGTCGTCATATGCACAGAACAATGGGAAACCACTGGAGTAGCTGTCGTCATTAACACAGAACAATGGCAAAATACTGGAGTAGCTGTCGTCATATACACAGAACAATGGAGGAGCAACTCTCTGGATTCCACGCTGGTGAGGCCACCAGACGGATGTGGGGATACTATTGACTGTCAATTCTGATATAGGTTTCCGTTTTCAAAATACTACCATGGTTTAGATTAACATGTTTAACATAAATTCATACACGACCTCTTGTTTCCTTAGTGAATTATTTGTTTCATGCTTTGATGGTTAGTTCTTATGAACTTTTGTGTCAACACTGGTCATGCCATCCATTGGAATACGAAACCAGTGTTTCTATTTATAGCCCAGGCTGCCGAGGTGCTGCACTGCTTGAACGTGTTGCTCATCACCTCACAACACAACAGGTTTTACGCCATTCCATTCTGATAACACTTTAACATGAACCACGTATACCACTATGATTGTGTCAACCTAATACATCTTGTTCCTTGAAAACAATAACAAATGTTTCAGGACGTCATTGCTGTGAAAACATATTACTAGCTTTGATTCAATTCATGTTTGTTTACCCTACAAGAATATTATTACCCTAATATCTAAACTTATGTATTGTTCTCCTGTCCTGATTGTGAAGGTAGCTCATGCAATCAGCATATAGTACAGGGTAGAACTTGCAAAGTTCAAACACATTAATAGTGTTCATCATTAACCGTACAAGATTAATACTTGGGAAACAAGCGGCAGCGATGAAGCTATAGCTATTGTATTCTGAAAGGAAACGCAGACGAACAGACAGTATTAGAAGCGATGCAGTTATACACACGATAATTAAAGATATATATATTACAGGTAGTTTGCAGAACATTAGTGCAATATAATGAGGCAATGGCCACACCATGACAAGTGTGCATGAATGCAATATGTAATATTTACATTCAGTGTTTATATAGGCCTCTCGCTCCTACGGCCATTATTGTTGGAAGTGTCTTTATATGTTTAACAACGAAACAAATAAAGAGATTTGGTAGCAGGGTTTATTTGCCTGGAAACTGTGCAGTTTGATTAATTAGAATTATACTTAAAGTTACGACACTGGCAATAGGAGTTCATCTGCGTACACAAACCATAGGGTAGACTTTGAATTTATATAATAACATGACATTTGTGTACAGCTAACACATCTGACAAAGTCTAGATGGTTTATTTTTATGATATTAGAAATAGTTTAATTCTCTCAAGAAGTGGGCCTCACACCTGGTGAGATAAGGGCGGGTTGCGCTATCTCCAACCACAGCCTTGGA